GGATAAAGGAGGAACCAGGGGGATAAAGGAGGAACCAGGGGGATAAAGGAGGAACCAGGGGGATAAAGGAAGAACCAGGAGGATAAAGAGGGAACCAAGAGGATAAAGGAGGAACTCACTGAGGGCCATGATCCGAAGCCTCAGCGCCACACTGAGCTGACGCAGCAGTTTGGGGGGCGTGGCTTACTCAGACCTGAAAGTCCAGTCCCAGCAGCCTGTGACTCAGCGGCCCGGTAGAACCGGTTCTGGTGGTTTCAGCCTGCTTGTTATTTCTTAATCTTTCTCTAAGGAGCTTCACCCCCTCATGACCAACCTCAGACCCACTGAGCCACCAGAACTCTGGGCTTTGCTGTTTGATCTGAGCTTTTACTGTGGAGCCCACAGCATCACTCCTCCTCAGCCAGAACCAGAACAAATCCCTGCAGGAGTGAGGACCTTCTGGTGGGTCCATATGTCTGTGGTTCTGTATCTGCAGGTTTCTCAGCCAAGCAGAACCACAGCTGGAAGATCCAGGATCTCCTCCATGATGCCAGCAGCACCAGGAGGATGTGGGAACACATACGGCGCGACCACAGACTACATATATACAGAAACTGTAAACTCTGTTTAAACAACGTTTGTCTAAGAACCGGTTCTGCTCTCCTGTTTAAACCAGTGACTGGGTTCTGGTCCCGTTTCTGCACCTTCTTTGGATCCACCTGCTTCCCTCTGACCCTCCAGAATAAAGGCCTCCTCTGGTCCCCCCCCCCAGAACCTCCAGGTTCTGACCCAGACCGACATCATACTAACCAGAGTCCTGGTACTGCTGGCTCCAGCTCAGGCTGCTGGCGGCGCCCCCTGCTGGCTGGATGCCCTTCCTGCTCCTCAGCAGCTCCAGCTCAGAGCTCAGCTCATCGTTTCTGTCCTGCAGCTCCTGAACGCACCACACACACACACACACACACACACACACACACACAGGTTTAACCAGCCGGACCCCAGTATCGGGTCACGGTACCGGCAGCACAGAGTCCAGCAGAACCAGAGCAGAACCGGCGGCGGGTCTCACCCGGCACTGCAGCTCGTAGTCTCTGAGGATCTCAGAGAAGCGTTCCTCATGGCTCAGAGCGGCGCCGGACGGGTCCAAACTGCCAAACTGTCAGAACACAGAGATGATCTGTGAGTGAAGACGGTTCTGATGGCGCTGAGAGAAGAGCGAGTTACAGCGGAGGCTCATCAAACATTCATCAGACACCGAACACCAAGCGGACGCCGACCGGGATCAGGTTCCACCCGACCCAAAAGTCCAGAACCCGGGATCACCTTTTGGTTCAGCAGCTGTTCCACTTCCTTCTGCATTCTCTGCACAGAACCTTCAGCGTCCCTCAGCTTCATCTTGGTGGCCTCCAGCTCCTCCTCCACCCGCTGCTTCTCCTGACATCACAGCAGAAGCTGAGTCCAGAACCCATCTGAGCTCCGTCGGACCAGAACAGGAGTAGAACTCACCTGAGCGGCGCTTCCCAGCTCCTCCTGCAGCTCGGCCTCCTGCGCTCTGAGCAGCTGCAGCTCCTCCTGCAGCGCGCTGCACTCCTGCTCCCCCTGCTGCAGCAGCGCCTCGCTCTCCTGCTCCGCCTGGCAGCGCAGCGCCGTCAGCCGCTCCCTGAAGTCCTGCTCCAGGTCCCTGTGGGTCACAGCGCCCGTCACGCCTCGGCTCGGCTCCACAGCATCATGCCGCCCACGCCGCAGCCCTACCTGATCCTGCTCTCGTTGAGCGTCTCCATGCTGGCGTGGCGGTCGTCCACCTCCCGGACCAGCTGCAGGTTCCTGTGGTCGGCCAGCTCCAGGTCGGCCCTCAGCTTGTCCCGCTCCCTGCAGGCCTGCTCCGCCACCTCCCTGGAAGACAGAGCGGGTCAGACGGGAAGCCGTTGGAACGGACGGATGGGCGGCGGCTCTGAAACGTACTGCAGGTGCTGGATCTCGCTCCTGTAGGAGATGAGCGCCGCCTGGTGGATGCCGTTGCCGCTGACCAGCAGCTCGTTGTCCAGAGCCAGGGTCAGGTCGGCCAGACTGAGCCGGTCCTCCAGGGAGAAGTCCAGAGTCTGCAGCAACAGGACAGAACCAGAACCAGTTAGACCTTCCTCTGGCTGCTGATGCTGCGGAGGTCAGCGGATCAGAACCGGGCCGTTTACCCCGATCAGAACCTGCTGTCGATCCTGCAGGATGGACTGAAACTATCCGGGTTATTCCAGGTCCCATAACCCCAACCATCAGGATGCAGAGTTAGCGATTAGCCAGGCTGCTAGCCGCAGGTCCAGCTACTGATGAGCTCTAGCTGGAACAGATCTACGTTTGGTTCTGCTGTTTGCGGATCTCTGAAATCTTTAACCTTTAGATTGTTTTCTCTTCTCTCTGGACTTCGTTTGGCAGATGAGCAGAAATGAAAGCTGTGCATTACTGCCACCTACTGGTGAAGAATGATCATGACTTCATCCAATTTCATTTCTCTTCCTCTAATTCTATTCCAGGCTGCTGGTTTAAAAATGTGAATCATAATCCTGTCTATACCACAATTATTATTGTTATTCTTTATTTCCCAATACTTTGAAATCCAGTTTCTATTAATCTAATCCCATTTTTCAGCAGTTTTTAGATCAATCTACTTCCGTTTCTGGTAAAATCTTTGGTGCTAATAAATAAACTGAGTCAAAGTCCAGTTGCCTTCCAAATTAAAATTCTACTTTTTTAGAATTAGAGTCGTCAAACATTCTGACAAATGAATTAAAAACATACATTTAGTCTTAGTTCAATTAGACCATTAATTTGATATATTAGATATCATCTTTTATCTGTTTTCTGTTCACTTCATTATTCAGGGTTTTCAGAAACAGAAATAACCACTGATGATTCAGAGGAAACTCCTGCATCAATATGATAAACTTTAAAGAGTTAGACGAACCAGAAAGGCTCTAATTTAAGTTGGTGTTTTAATTCTTCTGTTAATCTTAAATATGGTCTAATTTTTCAGATTGGATCCGTTTCCCTTCATCTGTTTTGGACCCGATCTTTTTAAGGCTGCTGCTCCAGAATCACTTCCTGTTTATTTTCCATTTTGTTCAAACAGCTTCCTGCTCAGGCCAGCAGCAGGGGGCGCTGCTGTGCGGCTGGAACTGGGCTCTGAGGTTCTGCTCGGCCCGGTGGTTCTGAGGCGGTTTGGCAGGAGTTCTGGAACACGCTGACCCAGAGAGGAGAAGTCCTGGTTCTGAACCCACCTGCAGAATCTCCCAGCTGTTCCGGATCCCCTCCTCCGTCCACAGGGCCGCCACCCGCTCTGGGCTGGTACTCCCCGACCCGTCGTCCAGCCGGCTCAGAACTCTCGGACCTACAGTGGCCGTCAGCAGGGAGGGGGACGCCGAGCGGGCCGGGCCCTCCTCCGGTACCAGCTGCTGGTTCTGCACAGAGGAATGTGATCCGGTTAAACCCTGGAAAGAATGCGTTTCGCTCAGGGATTAGGAGAATTCACGCTGGATTAACCCGGTTCTACCAGAACCACCTGATGGGCTCAATGATCCGAATGAAGTTCTGAGACAGATGGTCCATTCGCTAACAGAACCACAGAGGAAGACATTTCTGGACTCTCAGGGTTCTGGTAACCATGGATGTCTGCTGGTTCCTTAAGCCTTGCAGAGCCGTCTGTGGTTCTGCCTGAACAATAGAACCGGGTCCAGCTGGATCACCTGGTTCTGACAGGAGGTCAGCGTGGAGGTCATCGGGTCCGTCCTGAACCAGGCCGACAGAACGTAGCTGGACATCATAGCTGGACTTCAGAACCAGCAGCCTCCACCTGCCTGCTAATACCTGTTCACCAGCTGCACCTGGGCCACCTGGGCAGGCCCCGCCCAGCTGATCAGACTGAGCTGCTCTGATTGGTCAGGTTCCTCTAATCAATGATGCTCTGATCATTTATTGGTTGATTCAATTTTATTTGATCCGGTTATTTTCTCATCAGTTTGTGATTCTGATCCGGTTTCATATCTTCTTCCATAAAAGGAAACAGGAAGTGATGTAAGCAGAGAGAACAAACCCTCATGGTTACAATTAGCTTCAAAGAGATAAAAGGAAAAACTGATAAACAGAGAAACC